CCCGCGGGAACGCCCGAGGGGCGGGGACGCCCGCGGGGACGGCGGCGCGCGCGTGCTGCGCGCGAGCTCGTGTTTGGAAAGCCTCCGTCGGAAGGGCTGGAGCCCGCGAGGTCTCCTCGTGTTCCCGAGGCTTCGGACCGGGTGCAGGCCCTGTGCCTGAGGCGGGGAGGGGGAGGCCGAGGCCCGCCGAGGGGGCCCCGCAGGGGGCGGGACCCGCGCGCCCCACTCTGCCGTCCCAGCTACCCGAGAGGCTGAGTCTAGGCATTTCCACAGGCAGCCGGACTAGGCAGCAAGGCCCTGAGACGCACCTCCAGCTAACTAGCAAAAAGCCAAGTGAAAAGGCACAGCCCCCGAAAGCAATGAGGGGGCGACCCCTACCACCACCATTGGTGAGCGTTTTAGAAAGAGGAACGGCCCACAGTGAGGATACACACCAGCGCGGGCCGCCGCACCCCGGCTCCAGGGCAAACTTCGGCTGGCCCGGTGGGCGGCAAGCGAGGCGAGAAGTCCGCTGAGAGGCTTCGTTTCTGGGCAGGGGTCTCACGACTGCCCGTGTCCTTCACCCCAGGGGAGGCTGGAGAGGTCCGTGGAGCACCTGCGGAGGCAGATGGAGGATGCACTGCTCTTCCAAGCACAGGCCGAGGAAACGTGTGCCCTGTGGCAGGCAGGTGCCAACAAAGGGGTCCTGGCCCCCGGGGGCAGCCCGAGGCAGTGCGGGAGGAATTGTGCCCACAGACACGGGGGCCCGTGATGAGCCGGTGTGCCCTGGGCAGCAGGAGGAGCAGGGTGGGGACGGCCGGTGGTGCTGCTCCCGATGGCTCTGGAGTCTTGGTAACCTCAAGATTAAAGTCCTGGAGCAACAGGGGGTTGTGGTGGATTTGGGGTGTCCATGGTCCCAAGGTTGGGTTTAGGGCCTGGCGACATTGGTTTGGGTCCTGCGCGGGTGGGTGCGTCCCCAGGTCCTGACAGGGCTGTTGCTCTTGCACCTTGCAGAAGATGGTGGAGAGCCAGCGGCAAAATGTGCTCGATGAGTTCCAGCGGTTGCGCCGCTTGCTGGTGGAGGAGGAGCAGAAGCTGCTGCAGAAGCTGGAGGAGGAAGAGCTGGAAGTGTTGCCGAGACTGCGTGAGGGCGCGGCCAGGCTCGGGCAGCAGAGCTCCCAGTTGGCCACGCTCATTGCCGAGCTTGAGGGCCGCTGCCAGCTGCCGGCATTGGGGCTGCTGCAGGTGAGTGGGGGGGTCCCCGTAGGCCCACGCAGCTCCAAGGGGCCACATGGTGCAGCCTGTCAGCAGACACACTGCTTTCCCAGACACGCGTGTGTTTTGCCTTCGGCACGTGTCCTGCGTTCACCTGCCACGTTTCACTGGCCACATTACACTTGCCACCGCTGCCTTCCACACCCCCCGCTGGGTGGGTCCCACAGTGCGTCCCACCAGTCACTGTGAACTTGACCTTGCTGTCTTCAGGGCCAGAGACAGATGGATGCGGCAAGTGCTGGAGAATGAGTGAGCGCAGGAAGCCCTGGGTGAGGCCACCCAGAGGCACAGACGCGGGTCTCTGCGGGCCTGGCCAGACTCACCCGGGAAGTGTGGGCAGGGCTGAGCCAGATGTAGTGTGTTCTACCACCCAGCCCAGGATAAAAGAGGTTTGGAAGTGTTCCTCCTCATCCTCAAACAGGGCTTTTCTTAAGTGCTTCCTTCCTGGGCCTTAGAAAATACCAACATTGGGGGCTGGGAAGTTGGCTCAGTGGTAGAGCGCTTGCCTTGCATGCCTGAGGCCCTGGGTTCGATTCCTCAGCACCACATAAGCAAAAAGAAAAAAGCCGGAAGTGGCGCTGTGGCTCAAGTGGTAGAGTGCTAGCCTTGAGCTGAAGAGCTGAGGGACAGCACTCAGGCCCAGAGTTCAGGCCCCACGACTGGACCCAAAAAAAAAAAAAAAAAAAAAGAAAATACCAACATTGAAGGAGGCTCAGGTGCGTTCTGTGAAATGGCACAGTGCACCATACCCTCCGTGTGAGTGCTGCGTATGTAGTTGCTAAATGACGTTCTTTGGGAACATGTAAAGGAGAAAAAGCCTATATGTTCATTACTGGCAGGATTTCTTCATTTTCCCCAACTCTCTGAGTCTGCGGTTGGTTGAATGTACATATGCAGAACCTTGGGAATACAGAGGGGCTGACTGTGCTTACAAAGATTGCCGGGTCTGTCCCCCGTCTCCTCCTACCTGCGGCATTACTGTTCTGAACCGACACTGGAGTGGACGTGCGCGCTCCCTGCCCAGCTTGGGGGTAGCGTTTGGTGATTGGTCAGCAACAAAAGCCCGCCTGCAGCTTTCCCTCTTGGTGAGGGCCTAAATCACACACTCACCTACAGGAATGCTGCCCTCCTTCTCCTCCTGTCCTCAGCAGCAGGCCCACTCTTCCTGTTCTGTTTTCTTCCCTTGGAAGATGAGTGTCTTCATTACTGGGCACCATCTTGGTCCAAGTTCTGTTGCTATGGTGACCACTGGGTAATTCACTGGGGAGTTTCAAGGCTGCATCTTAACAGCCATACAATTGGCCATCTCTTACTGCCTCACAGTGGCAATTTAATCTCACGTGCCTTTGGGGGGTATTCAGGCCGTAGCCAGTCCCTTGGCTCCCTTTGCTGTACTTGGGAGAGTTGTTCCAGGTATGGGTTCTGACCCTGGAAAGCTGGTGCGTTCTGACCTGGCCTCTCTCCCCTCAAATCACCTCTCTGTCCTCGGGACAACCCAAATGACACTGAGCATGCTTGGCTGTCTGCTCCAAAGCTTGCTCACCTTCCACGGACTCTCTGCCTCAGTTGCTGAAACCTGTCCAGTGAGCGTTGATGGAGCGACAGGGGTAACCTCTAAGAGTTCCCAGATAGGCTGCAGATGGCACTTCCTCGGGGCTCAGCTGGATTTGGGGGGGCCCCACAGATACTCTGAAACTTGATTGTGCTCCTCATGTGTTGTAAACATGGTAGCCTGAAACAGATAGCTCTGGATGTAGGAAAGTGTCCGTGTGTGATGACAAGGCCAAGGAGAAGTGTGTAGACCAGGACCCTCCTACAGGGGGCAGCCCACGGGCAAGAAGCCCGAGCTGACGTGTCAGGGACCAGGAAGAGGCCCCTACCACGTTCCCTTGGTGGCATGGCCTTTGCCAAACTGTCAGACACGGGGGGGGGGGGGGGGCTGGCCGGGCTCTAGGTGGAAGCAGAGGAGAGACTGTCAGGTTGGACAAGCTGGGATGCTCGGGATGCATGGAAAGTTTTTTCCCCTCACTTTGGAACTTTGGTTTGAAGTTATACAGTGTGCAGTCTGGTGTTGCTACATTGTGTGTGTTGTGAGTGTTGGTGCATTCCTCACCAGATGATTTGTAGTAAGACCCCTCAGAACCTCCCTTCTGGCTGATTGAACTGGGGGGAGGCCCTGGGGGCTGCGCCAGTGTTTTCTTTCCGTCCTGAGTCCTGCAGCCCCATGCTCTGGCACAGTGGTCTTCCTAACCAGATGTCTTGGTCTCCCTGGGTGCTGGGCTTGCTATCCGGGAAGACCTTGCCCCTGCCGCCTAGCTGTGTACCCCCGCACAGCTGTTCCCGGTGGAGCAGCGAGCAAGTGTGGGAAGTTGGTGGCTGCCTTGTGCCTTCCCAGCAGGCTTCTTTTACCCCAGGCCCGCATCTCCACATATGCCAGTGAAGGCAGTCCGGGCTTCAGAGCTTGTGCCCGCGAGGCTCCTTGAAGCCATGGGATCTGTTTCCTCTCCCAGAATTAATGACCTGTTTATGTGAAAGCCTCAGCTGTTGGGCCCATCTGCAAGGAACCTCTTGGCAGGAACAGCCTGGCAGCTGGTGTGTGGTGTGGCGTGAGCATGCGGGCTTCACTCATGGCTTAGTGCAAGAAGGCCCCTGCCTTGCACTGGGTACTGTTCTTAGTTTTTATTTTTCTTCCAGTGCTGAGGCTTGAACTCAGAGCCTGCGTGCTATTCCTTAGCTTTTTGTCCAAGAGTAAGTACCAAAAAAGCTGGAAATGGAGCTGTGGCTCAAGTGGTGGTGCACTAGCCTAGAGCACAACAGCTCAGGGATGGTTCCCAGGCATGGAGTTCAAACCCTAGTATAAGTGCACGCGCACGTACACACACACACACACACAGTACGCCTTCCAGGAGCTGCCTTCCACGCGATTGTGTTTTGCACGGGTGTATTGCTGCACTTGGCTTTCTATAAACACTGAAGACTGAGTGTCTTACACTACAGAAATGCACTTATTTCCATTCAGTTTTGGCCAGAGGAAGTGCAGTATCAGGGTGTCAGGTGGGTTGATGTGTTGGTTATTTTTCTGAGGTTGGGTAAAGAAAGATTTATTCAGCTCATGCTTTGGAGGGCTCCAGGTCCACACAGCATGGTGCCAGCTGCGGGCGGGGGGTGTGTGCCTGTGGCCTGGCGCCTCCTGGGGGAATGGCCCGGTGGAGGAGAGCTGTGACAGGGTGGCGGACCACACCCTCACTCTGCCGCCGTGCCTGTGCTCAGGCTTCTGCCCAGTGTCCCTGGTCCAAGCCTGGTGCCAGATGGGCTTCTTCCCGACATGGATGTATTTCTTTGGCCTGGAGCTAACCTTGGTTGGCAAAGAAAGCCCAAGGCCTGGTCATGGGGTGTGAGGAGGGGTCCCCAAGAAGTGCAGGTGCTGAGCGCATGACTCTCTCTCCCCCCACAGGACATTAAGGAGGCCCTGCGCAGGTATGAGCCCGCGACCCCCCGGGGCAGGGGGCTGGGTGTGGGGGGCCGCCGCCAGCCCTGAGGACGAGGCTGGGCTGTGCCTTGCAGGGCCCAGGATGTGAAGCTGCAGCCTCCAGAAGTGGTGCCCATGGAGCTTAGGACCGTGTGCAGGGTCCCAGGCCTGGTGGAGACCCTGCAGAGATTTCACGGTAGGAATGAGGGCCTCGGGAGGTTGGACTGTGGTGAGTGGACTGCACCCTGGGACAGACACAGGGCTGTGAGTTCTTGGAGCAGCGCCCTCTGCTCTGCGTGACACCAGCGGCGCGGGGTTCTCCAGCCTTGTGGACAACGTTCTGTGTCAAGCAGTCTGGCTGCGTGCTGATGTTTAGAGTTACTGCAGACTTCATAGCCAAGGGCTCCACACCTGTGTCAAATCTGTTGTGAGCCGGGACCTACAAATGTATGGCCCACTACCCCCTTTTGAGTTAGAGAATTTACCGGGAGGCTCACAAGATCCAGGCATTACTGTTACCGGACTATTGTAAACGATAAAGGTCAGCGACATATAAAGAAGGGAAGCACCGGGCAGGTTTGCGAGGGCACCAGGCTCCATGCCCTCTGGGAACTGTCCCTTCCTGGCACCTCACCAATTAGGAGTCTTGCGGGGAAGTGCCATTTTTGGGGGCGCAGATGATACAATTATTAGTCATCAATCATCAAACGCAATGTCCTCCAAGTCCCAGGAGCTCAGTCCATGGGTGACGTTTGTATCTAGACCCATAGCTAGTCCTCTGGTGACCTGAGGCACCACCAGCAGACGCTCGGATGTGATGTGAGGGGTCTCTGAATAACAAAAGATGCTCTTATTAGGAAATTCTGAGGCTTCCAGAATGTGCCAGGCTCCAGGGAGAGAGTCCAGATCTCTTTCTTGCTATACTTAGACATCCAAAGCAACAGAGTGAAGGCTATAGGGCTGCACCAGACCTGGAGGTAGGGGGGGAGTTGCCTGAGAATGTAGTTGGGACCAGGCAGCAGCCTGCCGCTCTGAATCTCTTATGTTGGGGGCATCCAGAACCCACGGCCCCATTGTGAATGTGAGGCCCAGAGCTCAGGCTCCCGTGTGGGACTGACGGGACAGACATGGAGAAGTCAGGATTTCCTCGTCATCTGTGCAAAGGGGAGGGCCCGTGCAACTAGACGTGGTTGGGAAAGCCGCCCCCTGGTTGGGGCCTCAGCAGGGCAGTCTCCTGCAGCACCGGCCCTGAGCGGCGGGTGCTGACTCTCACCCTAGACCCTTCTTTGCAGTGGATGTGACTCTGGACCCAGACACGGCCAACCCGGAGCTGGTCCTGTGTGAGGACAGGCGGAGCGTGCAGAGAGGAGAGCAGCGGCAGGCCCTGCCCGACAGCCCTGAGCGTTTCGACCCCAGTCCCTGTGTGCTGGGCCAAGAGCGCTTCACCTCGGGCCGCCACTACTGGGAGGTGGAGGTTGGGGATCGCAGCAGCTGGGCCCTGGGTGTCTGCCGAGAGAATGTCAACCGGAAGGAGAAAGGGGAGCTGTCGGCTGCCTGTGGGTTCTGGATCCTGGTGTTCCTTGGGAGCTATTACACCTCCACAGAGCCCGCCTTCTCCCCTCTGCGGGAGCCTCCCAGACGTGTGGGCATCTTTCTGGACTATGAGGCTGGACACCTCTCGTTCTACAGTGTGACTGACGGGTCGCTGCTGTTCATCTTCCCGGAGACGCCCTTCTCCGGCCCTCTGCGACCCCTCTTCTCACCTCTGTCAAGCAGCACAACCCCCATGACCATCTGCTGGCTAAAAGGTGGGCCCGGGGATGCCCTAGCTCCCCAGTGACTCCAGAGATTGGGGAGCCCCTTTGCCTGACTTCTGAGCCACACTAGGGCCCAAGGGCAGGGAGCATGTCCATGAACCACGAGGACACGGTCAGTGGAAGCCTGGGTTCTGGTTAAGGCTGGGCAGTGGATGCCTGCGTGCCAGGGGCCAGTTCTGTGAACAGCCCTCACAGAGCTCTAAGCCCTAGGTACTATTTCCTCTGGCTCAAAGGTCCAGGAATATCACAAGCCCTTCCAGCCCAGGCCGTCTGTCCTTGTAGCCCCGCCCCCCCCCAAAGCCCCAGGAACCCTGCCTCAGTGAGGATGGTCAACAGCTCCACACCTACCAGCCTGTCTTAAACTTCAGCCCTGCTAAACACCGGTGGCTCACACCTGAGGAGGCTGAGATCTGGGATTGGGGTTCAAAGCCAGCCCAGGCTGTAAGTTCCTGAGACCCTTATCTCCAATTAACCACCTGAAAACCAGAAGTGGTGCTGTGGCCTTGAGCTGAAGAGCTAAGGGACAGCCACCAGGCCCAGAGTTCAAGCCCCAAAACCAACACAAAAAAAGTTTGGTCCCATAAGAAGTAGGGCTGGTAGCCTCTAGAAAGATAATTGGAGTAACACCCTCCCCCCCAAATAAACACATTCTCTTTCTCTCTCTCACACACACACGTACACACATCTGAAGTCCTGAGTGTCCCAGGCTGGCTTTGCGGCTGCTGACAGCTCCTGGCTGTCAGGGCCTCGTAGGGGAGGCCCTGCAGCTGAGGATGTGCGTGAAGCGCCCTACGCTGCACAGGGTGGACATCACCCCTCAGACCAGCATGGCTTTGGTGTTACACTTGGGGAGTTGTGTCCTTTCATGTGTGGAAAGAATAGCACCCTGCTCAATAAACTAACTGCTGCCCTGCTTATCCTGTGGTGAGGGGAGGCGCCCGGACCCCCGTATGCCTGCCAGGAGTGGAGAGGGCCGGCCCCGGTGTGAGACGTGCAGCCGCGTTCATGGCATCCAGTGTGCACATCGGGTACAGATAGCCAATGGCTGTGAGTGTCCTGAATTCTCTGAAGGTAATAATAGCTACAATTTCTCAAAAGTAGCCACGAAGCTGGGCCCTGGTGGCTCACGCCTGTAATCCTAGCTACTCAGGAGGCTGAGATCTGAGGATCGTGGTTCAAAGCCAGCCTGGGCAGGAAAGTCCGTGATTCTTCAATAAAAGCTACTAGAAAACCAGAAGTGCTGTGGCTCGAGCGGTAGAGCGCTCGCCTTGAGCTGAAGAGCTGAGGGACAGCGCCCAGGCCCAGAGTTTAAAACCCACGACCGACAAAGACGCGGTACCTACGGACAAAGGGCTGATCAGGTAATGGGGACGTGTCTACCGTGAGAGCTACAACGCACCGGTGAAGGAGGAGACGTCCCGTGTGTCCGCGGGGAAGAGGGGAGCGGTCGCCAGTCCTACCGGCGTCGGAGGGCTCCCAGGGCGCTGCCCCTGCGGGGAGACCGGCCTCCCCGGCGGCGTCCGGAGGAGATGCTCGACCGAGCGGACGACCGGTGGCCCGGCGCGGCCCCGAGGGTCGCCCTGGAGGCCGAGGCCGGGGACCTCTGGCTGCACGGTGGCCG